TTATTACTATGTTAAAGAGTAATTTCATGTTTTTGTTAGTTCTAAATGGTCTTTTATATGTTTTGTTTGTTAAAGAGTATTGTTATGTGTTATCTTGTGTAAGACAAAGTTAAAAGATTGTGATTTCTTTAACATTTATTTTGAAGATGTTAACTCCAAATCAACCGCGAAAGAGTTTTTTGGTTGTTTGTTTGTGATATGACAACAAACCAATGATAACGGGTATTATTATGTGGCTAAATCACTGTTAAAGGTTTTTCAGTTTATTATGCTTACGTGGCTGTACTCTGTTGTTGAAAGGTTTGTTAATAAGATCGTGTTAAAGGTAATTGGTATAATGGTTAAATTTGATTGTTGACCTGAGGACAGGCTTGAGCATACCACGGACTTCCTACCTTCAGTAGCGATATTTAACTATTCCAAATTTTCGATTATTTCGCACTGTCATGGCGACTACATATAGTCCAGAATTTTTTGTTAATTTTACACTCTTCTTAGTTACTTTGTTTTTCTATTCTCACAGGAGAAATATATATATTTAGCTCACAGGAAGGCTCAAGCATAGGATCAGGTATCGTGATTAAGTTGTCTCGTGCTGGAACCTTCGTTGCTAGGCAATTACAAGTTGAGCCAAGGGTGAACAGTCAACCAACACTGTCTAAGAGCAGGAGTCATGAGGTAAAGTTGTCCTCTTGGACAAAGAAAATTAGTATTTGATTCTAAAGTCAAACTCGCTTTCTAAGTTGAGAGTTTTCTGATAGACGATTGAGATAGAAGACTTACCTTCGAAATCCACATGTGTAGTCCAACAGAAGTCCATTTTGAAAGAGAGAAAGCTGCAAGCTAAATACTACCTAGCTGGAAGGGACTGTCCACGTGCTGTGATGGGTACGCGTGCTCTGTTTTCAGTGTTTTTGTGCTGTAGTAAATAAGTTTTATTCGATTTACATAAGGTGTCCAAACTTTGCTATTTTCCCTCTTACAGCGAAAATTAAATGAAATACTTTCACTCAGGAAGTTCACTTAGATCACTGGGCGGAACCCGCAGTTATTTGTGGGTAATTCTATCCGGAAGGAAGAACTTGTCGGGAAATCAATTTGATCTGAAAATATTACAGTAGGATGAACAATTAATATTGCAAGAGAAGATAAATAATTATTAATTAATGGGATTTTACAGAGAAAAAAAAATCCTGAATATTATTTGTACGTTTCTCGTTAAATATCCCTACATTAACTTCCTGTGACTTTAATTAATTTAATATTTTGGAGAAATGTAGATTTTTTTTCCTTTAAAAAAAAAAGCACAAAAATCATCAATAAAAATGTTCCACTTTTCTACTTCGCGTTACAATGTACATTTCAGAAACTTTGCATGACATCTTTAAAAAAATTAAATTAAACTGATAGGACCCAGTTAGAAAGGAAGAAAGACCTTTCGTGAGTTGAAACATAAGACCGGAAAATTGGAATGAATAAAAGTATTTTTCCACTTAGGATATATAGGAGGTTAGATTAATGGATTTACCTAGATATGGATAAAATAGAGATCTTAAACAAACAGACAAAAATTATTAAACGATAGCCTATTTTGTTTTCTCGTGGCAAAAGTTTTGATAATATTACAATTACTCAAAAGAAATATGTGCCCAGGTGGGGCGGCGGTAAGTTTACGTACTTACGACGCTAAAATCCGGGTGGACACAGTTGATATGGCTATTCTCCAAAACAAACAAATTAATTACAATGATGTGGAGCACAGAACTCTATAATGTAACTGCAGCACTATAAATTATATTAAGAACTGATTATTTTAATTTAACTTTCATGTTGTTCATCATAACTAATACCATGGCTACTGGTAAACTGTGAGATATAAACAAATAAGAAACAGCGTTAACGAAAAAAATCCGCTAAATATATGCGTGATGTTAAACTTGTGTTCACTCTAGCTTACACTCCCGATAATAGTTGGTGAGTGGCACGTTCTTCAACGTCAGCTTACGATTAAGGCCGTGTTGAAAGCAGCATGTTTTGTTTGAATTTTCAATACGATACGCATATCTGCACAAGTTCACGAGAACGGGCGTGTGGAAAGTTATGGGTTTCACCTAAATTTTCAAAGTAATCTTATTTTGTTAGTAACATCAAACATCTCAGCACCAACCTACTGAAAATACCTACATGATATGTTTTGCTTCAAGTCCAAGGGCTCTTGTGGGCAGCAGTGGGGCTGTCTTTTTTGTAGATTATCAAAATATCAGAAGAAATTCAGTTAAAAATTTGGGATTTTTTTAAAATTAGTAGTTAGTAGTTTGTTTTATTAGTTTATGTAAAAAAATTTAATTGAAAATGTAATTTTTCTATTTGTTAGAAGTATCATATCTCCTTCTAACTGGGCCCGGCTTGGCCAGTTGGTTAGGACGCTCGACTTGCAATCTGCGGGTAGCGGTTTCGAATCCCCGTACCACGAAACATGCTCGCCCTTTCAGCCGTGGGAGCGTTATAACGTGAAGGTCAATCCCACTATTCGTTGATAAAAGAGTAGCCCAAGAGTTGGCGGTGGGTGATGATGACTAGCTGCCTTCCTTCTAGTCTTACACTGCTAAATTAGTGACGGCTAGCGCAGATAGCCCTCGTGTAGCTTTGCGCGAAATTCAAACAAACAAACCTTCTAACTGGCTCGAAGTATTTAATGCATTTTTTCATACTGTCTATACATTAGATTATTCATTCCACATGTGCATTTGATATTACTTTATTATTACCAGTTCATCAAAAACAATTGTTTGTTGATATTATTAATATTGACTGTAAGAAGCTTAACACCAGTCGTCACTTTGATTTTTTTTTAGAAGATTAAGACAAAACGGCACTTTGAAAGTCATTTCTTCATAGCTCGTTTGGCCTAAAGTTTTTGTACGTGGTTCCTCCACAGTTTATTTATCCAAATTTTGTATTTACTACCTAAACAACAATTCCCACTATAGTTATCATTTGATTTAGGTGTCTTTAGGGTGAATGTCATTTCAACAGTTCTTATTCGAGTCAAATAATTACTAGTGTTCTTCAAATAGGTGTATTACAGTATCAAGACTACACTTGCATTTTTTTCTTTCTGTGCTTATTGAAAATACTAGTATTTCCAGATCATGTGTAGTTCAGTGTCAATATATATATATATATATATATTCATGATTTGTTAAATAGAAAAAGTGTTCTTGTAACTGCTAATGATAAAGTGTTTGTGGACGATTAATCCAATGATGTTTCAACAGGGAGTCCTGATGGTGATATATTTTAATTTAACATATAACTTGGATATTTTATTCATAATAACGAGAATACTCATCAATGCATTCTAATCTTTGTAAGTTTTTGTTTCTTGACTTTGCATACTGCTACTTACACTGGTTTATTACATTAGCTATATTATTTACTGAGTTAATGTTTAGTTCTTACCTATGTAAGTAGCTTGTCTTTCATCAGAACTTAACTCTGTCTATACAATCTATCAAAGAATAATTAACCTGTCTAAATCTTATAACTTGGGTGGTTTATATTTCAAAAGTTACGGTTTAAACGCCGATAGCTGGCCAAGCATTGGAAATCATTAAGCCTAACAGCTTACATGATTTTTATCGTCAGTACTAGGCTTGTTGTTTTGTATTTCACTTCAACTGGTCAATAAACTTGTAACTTAGACGTTTTATATGTCACACAACTATTGTTATTCAACACACACTTTAATTTATAATTAGCGAACTAGGGTTTTACTATTTCTTGGAACAGTTTAATCTTTTTTTATATAATTAAGTTATTAGTTTGTATTCATATTTATTTTTTATATTTAAATCGAAAGCTCAGTCGACAATTTATTAATTTTATAACATATGTATGAATTTACCTTTGAATGTGTATTAAGTTGGCGCCGATTTCTTTCGGCGTCGGCAAACAAAAATACAATTCCAACAGGTGATCATAGCTTTTTTATGTACTTTAACATCCCATAAGGTTATGCATAATAACTTTTGAAATCTGAATGGCTTTTTAAACACATAGAGCATGTTCAAACAAATCTGACATTATTATCAAAACCGTTTTCGTATATTTCGTTCTGGTCAACTCGAATTAATACATTTAATCAACCCCTGCTCTTCACATGGAATTATAAGAAGCCAATAACAGAGGGAAATCAGATCAACCCCTGCTCTTCACATGGAATTATAAGAAGCCAATAACAGAGGGAAAGCAGATCACTCTCACATTTATAATTAATTTTCGTCATCTTTTCTCTTGGCTTTTAATCTCTTTGATACACGTAACTGATTTAACAGTACGAGATCTAAACACTATTTTGGTTATCCCGAGAGCAGCTGAATAGGTTTTCTCAATAATCCAATTATTTTAACTAACATTTTTTACCATTTCTACTCTTGTTTTCTCTTCTCTTATCTCATAACTTCTTGTTTAATCCTTTTTGTTTCCTTCCTCTAATAACTATTTTGTCGAGAATTTGGAAAGCTCATTGAGTTATTGATAAAATATCCCAGACGTTTTTTGGTGATGATATTTCTCCTAATGTATGTTTATACAAAAAATACGATTTGTAAGAAGCTTTATTTCAACGAAATTAGTGTAGAAAACAACAAGCTTGTGTTTGTCATCGTCTAAGATTAGTTTCTGTTCGTTTTTATCGTACTGGTAAGAAGGTTATATTTTGTATTTCACAAATTGAATAAAAAAGTGGAGATTCTCTTCGAACTGCTGACCTCGGTTTTTTGCCATATCACTTGTTATAATATTCACTTTAAATGTTATTAGAGCTCAAGTCACGTCTATGAAACCCATCACTTAGACAGTTTAACGGGAATCACGTATATATTGCCAAGACTTGTGTAACACAAGCGTAAAGATTTGAAACTATAACGCTGTGTTACTGAGGTAAGAAAACTAAAATCTAATCTCCTAATGATTACTTATGTTTTGCGTTAATGTAAATTGTTATATTGTGGATTTGAAATATATATAGAATCAATAATTAATATTAACTTCCGGTCAAAGCAAGCCGCTTACTCAGAACGAAATTTAAATTTCACCTAGTAATGAGTGTAGCTAATTAAATGTACCTTTCTCATGTTCTTTTTTTATAAAGATTTCAATGCATTGATACATCAGTTGGGTATCATCACTGTTAACGATATTCTCGGCTGATAATGTTTCTGGTTCTACAGAGATTGAGTGGATTATATTAAAATGATTTTGAGGCCTCATTATGTCGTTACAGTCCATGTTGTCAAGTCCGTCCATTCATGCTCTATCTGACGACTGCCTATCTTGACAATAATCTGCAGCGTAGATTCCATTGTGAAAATCTCCGATGAAAGGCTGCCATATCTGATACACAGATCTCCTCCTTGCTTGCTTTCCATAACCCATTTAGTACGGGAAGACAACAGTAACATGAATACTCGTTATATTCTCGTGACTTGAGGTATGCCACAGTTGAACAAATATGTCGTGGAAGCAACTTGTGTATGCGTTACTTTTGTCGTTTCTTACAGAGGAGATCCTTCATGATTGTGTAGCGTACTGTTGCCTATGGTATGTGGATGGCTTTTACCACTGACCTTTATGTTCATGAGTTCTTACCTGTTACAAGGCGTCTAACTTTGCTTACCACAGTTGGGGTACGACGCTGTTGCAGGTCTCTTTCTAGATGGTCCCAGTTCTCCAAGATGATTCATAATCCTTTGTTTTCCAATGGCATTAAGAACAAGCAATGTCCCCGTTTTGTAAATTATACGAATAGTTTATTTCGGGAAAACTTATAACACACCCTTCCCAAACGCGATGAAATCTCGATGAAATTACATTACTTACATAACATCAAAAAATGTTAGAAAGGCTTCATATTGACTGTAGTTGTCACGTGACTTGCTGATATACTTATTCATAATCGGTTTGATCTAATGTTCTCAATTCTATATGTCTACACAAGTTTCAGTCGTTATGTATGGGTTTACTGATTCTATTTTACCAGAAATACTTGTAATTACACCAAAACTAATTTCATTTACTTTTTCCATCTACACTTCTAATTTGGTAATCAAAATTATTTGCTCTGGTTTAACCAAATTAGTGTTCTTTGATAGATTGTTTAGGAAGAGTATTCAGGATGAAACTTTGTAGAATGGACGGCGACAAGTGTAGAGGACGACGTTTCGAAAGTCTTCCGCCTTTCGTCTTCAGTTGCCGTCCATTCAACAAAGTTTCATAAATCAGTATTCTTGAACTGATGGTCAGCAACTCTTCGGTTTTGTTCAGATTTTAATTAGTTTCACACATTTTTTGCAATAGTTTAATGTTTTTTACATTACATACAATCTAATAAGAGTGTTTGTGTGTTTTAGAGCAAATCCATATTAAGCTATCTGCTGTGTTCACCGGGGAAAATCGAACCCCGGATTTAAGCATTGCAAGTCCGTAGACTTACTGCTATCTCACCTGGGGACTAATAAGATTGAAAAGGTGAAATATATAAATACATTCTATATAACTGTATCTTCTCCTCTCTGCTATTTAACAACCTAATAACAGATTTAATTATCCAAGGTTTCCCTGCAGTGCCACTGAACACGCCTACATTTTTAGCTTTAGGTTCGTTATATGGGTGACAGTCAATCCTGTTAGTCTGCTCCAAGCTGAGCATAGTACTGATCAGCTGCCTTCCCTATTTTCAGTAGTTCATAATTTAGGACGTCTCTAATAAATAAACTTAGTATTCCGAAAATTGTTTAATCACGATATCTAAGTTCAAGGGAAGTCCAGTTCAATCTACACTTTGATCGACATGTGTTATTGGACTCTATTAGTTTTGTAGAATTCCACTCCTCATCAGTAACCCTGAACACAAGTGACCAAAGAGAGATAAGCTGGACCTATATCATAGTGCAAACTATCAAATATATTGTTACGTCTCCGTTCGTTAATTGATTTTCCGTAACTTCGTTACGACGAAACTTTAGCGACACAAGTCCTTACTTAATAAAACTGGTCTATTCTCTCTGAATATAACTTTACCGATACACTTATTTTCAACAGTCGCTCTGTAACAAACGTTTTAACAACGAACGTTAACTTCAACAATACTTCCTGACTGCAGTTCAATTACTCACTACCTACACACACATTGTCACGTCACGCCGTGACCATCTTATATATATCAGGCTACTCTATATCTAGTAAATGCTAGGGCATTCACGAAGGAACAAGATACTTCTAGAAACGTGGCGTGACACTAGTCACGTGACCTCGCTGACGCAACACTGCCCCCTCCTTAGTATTGTTCGTCCCGAACAATAACCACATACAATAAACCAATAACAATTAACAATAACTTAATTAAATGTACAGGATTACAAACACAAAATTACAATTCAACAAAGTCTCTTAATTTTACGGGACGTATCTTCTTCCGTACTGGTCTCCGTCTCGTTGGCTTCTGCTTCATGTGGGATTCATCTGCTTCATCAGTAAATGTCCTATCATCGGTAACTGTCACATCAGTGTTAGTAACTTCACAAAGAGCTTCACCAATTCCTTTCTCAAAACTGAGTAGAGTTTCTTCTTCGACGGTGGCTTATTCAGGTGGCACGTCTTCAGCAGCGTCATTTGTTCTGTTTTCCATTTCCACCCAACTGAAAT